CACTTATGAAACAATAAACTAACCAGTAGTTTAAGTTACCCACAAAAACAAATGTCTTAAATTCTTTAGTTGTTTAAAAATACTTAACCTTCAAAACGGTTTTGAAATTACAAAAATTTAGTCTAAGTAAAAATACATTACTACAAAAAATTACAGTACTACAATTAGGCTTTCACAACCAGTATAACCAAAGAACTATGAAAATATTTCATCCATTTAAGTTTTTGGACCACATAATATAATAAAATGAACAATTTGGCTATTTTAATCAGTATGTACAAATGTGTTACAACACAAACCAGTCTGGTTAACTGGATCACTGGCCTAATTCTGAAATCAACTTATCTCTCCCCCACCAACCTCATGAGAAAATACTTCACAAGTAACTTCAAAAAACTCAATTGAACGAAGAAAATAAAATTTTATATGAGAAACAAAAATTCAAAGCTTGGAAACCACTTTCATGGTTGCAAAAACTGGAGCTTTGAAGTCTGACCAAACTTGAAGAGAAAAATTCTAGCTTAATGGATCACAATTACTTTTACTATACAACCAGAGCATATGAAAGACATCTGAAGTACTGTACTTTCCTAAATTTGAGGTGGATCCTAAAAACAAACTAAAAATGACCCAAGAAAGTCAAACAACAGATGCAGAAGATTGCTGAAAACTGATCACTTATTCCATATTACAACAGTTACCTGCTTTAGTAAGTAGGATTCTTTGTTGGTACAAATTGAAGTTAGCATCCTTAACAATTTCCTTCATCTTGTTCTTTAAACTTCTTTTAAATCCTTTATTTATTTGGTACAGGGACTCACTACACAGCTCAGACTTGTAGTGATCCACCAGTCTCAGCCTCCCCAGCACTGGAATTACAGGCGTGTGTGACCATACATAGTTTCGGTAGCTAGCCCTGGGGCTCCAGGGGTGGGACAGCATGCGGCACTGTGGATCAAACTAGGGTCCTTGTGCTTGCTAGGCAGGTGCTTAGACCACCAAGCTATCTCCCCAGGACTCCTTCATCTTTAAGAGAAACTTACTACTGTATTTTGAATCAGTGATGTCACAGAACTGTTAATGATCAATTGAAACTATTAGCACCTGTTACTTTATTCTGCTCCTACTTACATCATCCAAATGCCAAAACACAAGACGGCCTTACATCACCTGTACTCCAACTTTTAAAATAGCCACATATCTCTATGTGCTGTCAAGGGCAGTCTCTTTCCCCCTTTACATGGAATTAGAATTTCTCTCTTTACAATACACAGCCATGCTCCAAAACGTAAAACACATATGCAGATCTCAGAATTTTGATGCATTAAAGCACCCAAAAAAGCTTAGGTATTTGGTATTTAGACTAATTGGTTAACATCAGAATAAAATTTTAACTTTTTTAAAGAGTACTGTAGAACCCTTAGAGCATAAAATTCCATTCTTTTATCCAAAATGGCCTAAAAGAAATTCATTTGTACACCACATAAGAACAAAGTTTTTGCAAATTCTGCTTAAATTTTAGATCAAAATTTCCCCGAAGTGTTTGATCTGCCATGAACTCTAAGGTATTTGCAAGATAGTGCTCTTTAACAAAGCTCATTTGATTTTGCACATCTTATGTTCCCCTACACCTAATGAACCCACTAAAGAACTATTTTTCTGTTAAATACCACAAAGACATTTGCTGAGGTATTATTTTAAATATAAAGACTCAAACATCCTTCCACCGTTCAGAGCAGGATGTCCAAAGTAGTTGAACATATTAGCCAACAGTTTGGTTTTTTTTTAGAGTCCCAGGGGAAGAAAAAGAAATTCATAAATGTAATCAATACCCAAAATTAATGTCAACCATAAATCTACACAAGTGTGGGAGATAGTGGTTCATGCCTATAATCCCAGCATTTAATCTCTAAGGCAAAAGAATTGCCTTGAGCTCAAGGCCAGCCTGGGATACAGAGTGAGCATAAGGCTACCAAGCACTTCATAGGGAGACCCTACTTCAAAAAACAAAACCAACAACCAAACAATAACCAAAATCAGCAACAACCAAAATACAAAAAAAAAAAAAAAAAAAAAAACAAACTATACAAGTGCTGAGCTTTAACACAAATCTCAATACTGTATGAACGTTGAGAATGTTGAAAATTATACACACCCAAAACTAATGTGAAATAACTGGGTAGCCAAATGGATATATCCTGTGAGAAGAAGGATCAAGGAGTGTTAAATAATGGAGCTGAAACCTCATTTGATATACAAGGAAACTGAGACTTTAGCAGGTTAAATAATTGGTTCCAGATCATGCAGTTAACAATAGATATGACCAATCCAAGCCTCCTAAACTAAATCTAATGCTCTATTCACCGAAAATACACTAGTGAACCACAAAGCTCTAAATGCTCTTTAATAATTCAAATGTCTTCAACGTCTTCATAAGCATTATACTCTGTGGGAGTCACTTAATAGTTACAGTATCTTGAATTCTTAAGTTTTCTTTCACATATCAAACATGAAAGTAAACTCTGAAACCCTGTAGCAGAAGTATTAAACTTTCGAAAGACTGCTACCCATGGGTTCAAATTTCCTTTAACAACCATAAAGATGAAGCCAAACCTAACTCATCTTTAAAAAAACTACCCAATTCTAATGTTTCTGCATACTTTTTCTGTGGACAACCAGCATCAGGTGTACACAGTTGCCTCCAAACTTCCATCCTGCCATGGGTGGTCACACGCACAGATCCTCTCAGACCATAATAACACTCACTAGAGGAAAGGAAACAGGTGTTTCAAAAAAACACTCATCACCTGCACTCTCCATATCAAAGGGTCACCCCCAAATTAAAGCATTTCTGCATCAATAATATCTATATTAAGAACTAAGCCCTGTCACTAGCAAAAGGCCTGGACCAGCCTACTAGAGAATTATATATTACATATAATATACATATGATAAAACATATTCCTTCTAAAGCATTAATCTCATTTCTACTAAAACTCCCCCAAATCAGTTGTTTTTGCTTTTTACAAGAAAACCGAAATCAATCTGATGTCAAATAAAGATCACACTGTAAATGAGAACCAAAGTTGTCAGTAAAACTTTAGAAGCACTATGTCAAAAAATGAGGATTTTACTGTGACCACAATAATAATGGTGTAAATACAGTATCTAGTGTAAAAGATTTTTTTCTTCAAAACCAAAGATCCTGAGGCTATACCTTTCTCTTTTCAAAACCAAAGTCTGAGTTCAGGTCCAAACCATTATCTGATCTGACATATTTATACAAAAAAAAAAAATTGTTTTCTTAAAAAATAGGTCATGCAACAACCACACACTTTCAAAGTAAATTTCGGTTTGAGAAAGAAGTATTATCCACTTTTTTTTTTTTTTTGCAGTACCAGGTATTGAACTCAGGTCCTTGCGCTTGCCAGGCAAGTACTTATTCCACTGGGCTATCTCCCCGGCCCTTTATCTACTATTTTCATGGATTTTGTCTATGATTTTATTACCTTTCTGTCTTTGAAAGGTCCCCAACTTTGGAGTCCTCACCAGACTTGGTTACTGAGCAGAAAAATCTAAGGGAAAATCCCTAACAGGCATAATACTCAACTTTTTCTTTTTCATAGTTGGAAATACTTGAGTTTGGAAAGTCCCGGAGCACAGCCATATCTGCACCACTAAAATCCCATCTAAGAGGTTAATTTAAACTGACGCGGCCCGGCCTGTCAAGAGCTGCGGCCTTGTAGCCGGTACAGAGGAAAGCAGGAGCGCAAGGTGTGAATCGGTGGAGGGAGCGAGCGAACGAGCGAGCGAGGCAGAGGCAGCCACAGCGAACAGCTGGCATCTCCACCTCCCAACCCACCCACCGCAACACAGGCCCCCAGCGGAGCTTCACGATCATCCTGGAAGGTGGCACTACAGAGCCACCTAGGAAAGATGGGCAATTCATTAACGACTAAGTGAGAGCGAATCAAAGAACACTACACGGTGCAGCTGCCACAGCCCGAAGGGTGTGTTGGGGTGAGGGTGGGGGTGGGGAGTTCGCGCCCAACAGGGCTCAAGGGTGTCCTGAGAACGGAATGGCCAAGTGCAGGGCACAAGAGGAAAGAAGCCAGGAAGCACAGGCCAAAGCAGACAGCGGTCTGGCCAGAGGGAGAACGGAAGTGGACGAGACTGGAGAGGTCTGGGCCGGGGGTGGAGGGCGGGGGGAACGAGGAGAACAGGGCTGAGAGGCAGTTGCTCCTGGAAAGGCTCCGGGAATTCGGGGGAAGTAGGAAAGAAAGGGTGGAGGCCGCGAGACAGGGAGAGGCAAGGGAGCTGAGCCGAAAGATAAGCGGGGGCGGGGCTAGGTGGGAGCGGGGGCGGGGCTTAGGGAAAGTGAGGGGGCGGGGCCATGAAGGGTGAAAGAAGCAGGCTGGGGGGGGCGAAGAGAGAAGGGAGAGGAGGGGGCTAGAGGGAGGTGCGAGGGGGACGGCCGAGGGGAGGAGGTAGACAGGGCCAGGAGAAAGAAGCACTGGAGGGAAATGGGGGGACCATAGCCAGGTTGGTGGGGTTACAGAAAGAGTAACAGCGCTGGGGGGGACAGTGCCAGGAGGGGGAGGTAGAGGGCAGGCGGGGAAGCTGGAGGGAAGGAAGCCAGAAAAACTGTAAGGTATAGAGCAGCGGCTGTAGGGACCAGAAGGGGCAGGTGGGGGGGTGCGAGGGGCGGGGACAGGGATGGAGGAGTGGAGAGTGGGGGCAAAGGAGAGGAAGGGGAGCAAGGGCTAGGGTAGAGGGGTGAAAATGGGGGGCAATGAGGGGGCGGAGCCGGGGATTAGTGGGGGGCTGGAGGGGCGGGGCCGGGAGAGGGGGCGGGGCCGGCAAGAGACGCGAGGGGTGTGCGCTGAGGGGGGTTGACGGGGTCCCGGGACAACGCCTGTGGGGGGACACTTGCAAGGGCGCCCTGCAGGAGACGAGATGGCGAGGGGTGCCCGAGGGCAGCGGGCCTCGGCGGGCCGTACCTGTCAGGCGGATCTTAATGCTGGAGCCGTTCCTGCGTGTCCCAGGGTTCGACATCTCCCGCCAACGATCCGGCAGCCGCGGATCCAGCGCCGCCGCCGCCCCCCGGCCCGGCCCGGCCCCGCCGCCACCGCCTCAAGGTTACGGCTTCGGGCTGGGCGCCGGGGTCCGAGCCGGGACGCGAACTCCGCGGCTCAGGCGTCTGGGCGACGGGCGGTGGTCGACCGAAGGGGTAGGCGCTCCGCCCAAGGCCCCGACCCTCGCTCCAGCCAACGGAGCTCAGCCGCGAGTCGCTGCTGCCGCCGCCGCCAAATCTCAGAGCCGGACGCCCGCCGCCCTCGCTGCTTCCGCCGATGCCGCCGCCTCCCGAAGCCGCGCGCGCGCGCGCCGCTGTGCCGGCCCGGCCCTGCGCGCGCCCGCGTGTGCGTGCGCGCGCCCGCTGACTGCGTCGGGTTGGGGGGGGCCTCTACGTCCCCCTCCCGCCTGGTGCGCGCCAGGCCTGGAGCTCGGGGTTAACCCCCTTGTTCGTCCGCGCTTGACGGGAAAGTGGAAGTTAAAGCGAGGCGTGCAGTGTTTCGCCGGACCCAGTTGTGGCACATAGTTCCGCCTTTGGTAGTAACTACGTTCTCTGGGCAAACCACTTTACAGATGCAGACGCTAAGGTTCAAAGAACAGAATTGCTTTTCCAGGTCTCTGAGCTCCTGCTAAGCTGTGGAAGGGAAAGGTTTCGCACACTGTGGCCTTTCACTCCCTTCGTTAAACGCTTTGCACAAGGCCATAAGATACCCTTTTTCAATAAAAAGCTTTTAGATCCTGCAAGTTCAAGGGACGGACAAAGAGACAAAGTGTCTCCTTGGTGTGCCCTGTGCAACCAGTGTGCTTTGTCAACCGGTAACAAAGTTTCCAGAATCACAGGAAGTGCCAAATATGGACAAAGTAAACAAGATGAGCGGGATAAAGTTGAGAGGTAGATATTTGCTCTTATGCAATCTGCATGAATTTAACCAAACAAAATCAGCAATAGGACTGGCCTTTTCCTACCTTCTGCCAAGCTTCTCTCCACCCAGAGTAACAGATAAAACTAAAACCAATGCTTCCTCCAGCAAACAAACATATCTCTATGGTAGCGTGTTGTGGAGAAGAAATAAATTGTTAGAGCAGAAAAGCTGGGTTTATCAAACTTATATCTAACCCAATACCTAATTTATCTAATGTACAGATTCTTGTAGTGCCTTATTTTGGTTTGTCTCCAGGAAACCAGAGAGATATTGATCCTTTCCTGAGGTCAGTCTTCAAATTAGAGCTGGCTACTTTGACATCCCTGACTGCCTGCCTGCCTACTTCAGGCCCAGCCTAGTGGAAAGAGGTCTGGTGATTACAAGGGATTACATCGTGGAACCCGCATCAATCACATAGAAGGATAAGGCTAGACCAGTAATGGTGAACCTTTAGAGCTTCCAATGAAACAAACAGCCTGCTGAAGCACAGGTACCCTAGGTCCACCACCATTTCCTAGATCTTTTCTGTGACCCTGTGTGACTCAGACTTTCGAAGTGACCCTAGTCAAATTTCCAAGAATTCAAGCAATGTTTAATAAGCACAGAGCAAGCAGTAGATCTGAAATGCAGCTTGCTTTCATTTGTAGGCAGTTGTCACAGAGAGTTAAGTCCCTGGGACAGACTCCATTCAAATTGTGATGTGCTCAAGTAATCATGACATCCTTCTCTTAGCCCACTCAATATTCCTCATACTCTTTAGTTCCTGTTTCCCATCCCCAGCTATTTCTGATCTAGAATCCTTCATTGTTTCACCTCATTATTTTCTACCCTACCTAGACTTCTGGGCCTCTTTTTACTTGTTGCCTCAACTCCTGAGAGAGTTTGTTTCTGGAGGTTATTGAAAGTCATTTCCTTTGTTCATTAACTCTAGGTGCTGCTGTCACTTAACTAGATACTTCCAACAGTGTTTCACCACATCCCATAAGAATGACTTTCCTTAGATGATTGTTCAAAAAGAAGGGGGTTGTGAATGAAGGCAAGAGATAGGAAAAGGAATATTGTGGGACTGTCCTGCTTCAAGGTTGTATATGGTTAGATTTTTGGACTTATGTGTAAACATAAGAAGTATATAATTCTTTATGCCTATTTTTAAAATATATTCTAATTTTTAAATGTTTTTTCATCATATTCTATAGGGACTTAAAGTTCAACATATCAATACTTGATGA